AGTTCAAGCCCCACATCAGGCTCTGTGCTGACAGTGTGGAGCCTCCATGGGATTTTCTCTCTCTCTTCCTCTCCCTCTGCCCCTCCCCCACTCACTCTGTCTTTGTCTGTCTCAAAATAAATAAACTTAAAATATTTTTTTTCATTTAAAAAATTTTAAAAAAGAGTTTCAAAGTTTTCCATTTCTCTGTGTTCTGAAACCTTCTGTTTAGGAATTATCTGTTCCTTGACTTTTTCCAAGAGTTTACCCATAAAACTTCCTGAGCTTAGAATCTTTATAAAAGGGAATTAATAGTGTTCTTAATTTCATCTCTGACTAGTCATGAGTTAAAGTTTTTATGCTATTTCTTAAACATATCTTTTTAACATTTATTTATTTTATTTATTTATTTATTTTTGAGAGACAGAGCATGAGCAGGGGAGGGCAGACAGAGAGGGGGATATAGGATCCGAAGCAGCTCCAGGCTCTGAGCTGTCAGCACAGAGCCCAACATGGGGCTCACACTCACAAACCGCAAGATCATGACCTGAGCCAAAGTCAGACGCTTAACCAACTAAGCCACCCAGGCACCCCCCCATCTTAAACGTATTTTTTAAATGTTTTGTTTGTTTTATAAAATCATCCACTTCCGAGAGGTTTTTAGATTTATCAGTCTATAGTGGAGCATACACTAACTCATAGTTTCAACACTTTTTTGTTGTTAGGTTTGGAAAAATTTCATCTGTTTGCCTGTTTGTTTTTTCCCTAAATAACCACTGCCCACATTTATTACACCTAATGCCGTCCTGTTTCCCATAAATTTACTCCTACATAGCTTCTCATTACATTCTTCCTCTGTTTCCTTCTCAGAGAAGGCCAGCTTCTCTCTGTTTTTGCTATTTTTTCTTTGGGAACTATTTCATTCATTTAAAAAATGTCTCCATATTTAAAATAATGGAAGTATTTAATGCTATAAATTTAACTTTGGGTGTAGCTTTAGCGTTTATATGCATTAATATTGTTTTTATATTATCTAGCATGGCAGTTTCTTTGATTAAGTAATTGTTATCTTCTATATGTTTCTTTGATTAAGTAATTTTTAATTTTTTTAATGTTTATTTTTGAGAGAGAGAGAGAGAGAGAGAGAGAGAGAGAGAGAGAGAGAATGAGCGGGGGAGTGACAGAGGGAGAGGGAGACACAGAATCCGAAGCAGGCTCCAGGCTCTGAGCTGTCAGCACAAAGCCCAACGCCGGGCTCGAACCCACGAACCGTGAGATCATGACCTGAGCTGAAGTCGGACGCTTAACCAACTGAGCCACCCAGGCGCCCCTGATTAAGAAATTTTTAAATTTTTAAATTCTCAACTGAGGAATGGTATTTTACCCTTTTACTCTTCATTTCTAATAAGAGTGAATAGTGAATTTGGTCCCCACTAACCTGAAGATTTTATTCAAATGGGATTTTTTTCCTTTGGATTTGATCAATTTTTTAATGGTCCATTAAAAGAAGGTACAATCTGTTTGTAAGTCTTAAATATTAATTTAGCCTTAAAAATACATTCCAGGAGCGCCTGGGTGGCTCAGTCGGTTAAGTGTCTGACTTTGGCGCAGGTCATGATTTCATGGCTCGTGAGTTTGAGCCCCGTGTCGGGCTCTGTGCTGACAGCTCAGAGCCTGGAGACTTCCTTGGATTCTGTTTTTCCCTCTCTCTGACCCTCCCCTGCTCGTACTCTGTCTCTCTCTCTCTCCCTCAAAAATAAATAAAACATTAAAAAAATTTTTAATACATTCCAATATAAATTAGAGGTGCTTTACAGATGTTTTCTCATTGATTAGAACAATCCTGAAAAAGGACAAATACTGTTTGATTTCACTTGTAAGAGGTTGGTCCCTAGAGTAGTCAAAATCGTAGACAGACTAAAACATGGTGTCTCTTCGATCAGATGGGGGCTCCCAAATGTGGGGGGATGATCGGTGGAAGTATGTGGCCCAGGCAGGTGAAGGATTCACCCAAGGCAGAACAAAGGTGACAGAAGTTTTATTGACTACAGTGAAAGGGAGCAGCAGGCAGGATAGAAGAAGAAAAGTTGTCTGCAGCAAGGCAACGGGTAGGAGCTGTTTTAAAAGCGGGGAAGGTGAGGAGGTGTGATGATATATGGAATTTTCCCTTTTTTTGGTCATTGTGCCTGGTTGTATGTAGCCCATTGGTCAGTTAGGGCCTATGGATATTTTGAGGTCACCTGATGGGTCTGTCTGGATTCAGCCAGGGAGTCCATGTGGGTCATTTTGCCTTGATCAGTTTCCATTTATCAAGCCTGTTGTCTAAAAGCAGCATCTACAGAACAGTGGATGCCAGTGGTGGGGCCAGGGGGTAAGGAGTGTCTAACGGATACACAGAGTTTCATTTTGGGAAAATTAAAAACTTCTGGAGAAGGATAGCAGTGATAGTTGTACAAGAACATGAAGAAATTTAATGCCACTTAACTGTACACTTACATATGGCTAAAATGGTAAGTCTTGTTATGTATATTTTACAATAAAAAGTATTTTTTGTTCCTGTGGATTTAGTGATCCCTGTTTGTCAGGGATGAAATGAGGTTCTGAGGTCACACCACTGATCAGAGGTAGAGTCAGGATTTAAACTGAGTGATGTGGATTCATCACCCCCATCCTGTGTGAGAGCTTCAGAGAGTTGCTCCCCACCCCCAATATTCCCCACATTAGGGAACAAGATTTAAGTTTCATCCAGATACCTCCAGGCCTCTGAGGGGGAATCTGCTAAATTCTCGTGTCTTCTCAGCTGCCCAGATGACCACAATCACCAAGGGCCCTACCACCACTGTCACCACCACCACAAGGGACATGAATATGGAAACCATGGTCAAGGTGGCACTGCCCATTGCTGTGTTCAAAACTGCAATTTTGGGGCTGGTTGTCTACCTCTGGTGGAAGAGAAGCAAAGGTAAGTTTTTCTGGGCCATGCTCCCCACCAACCTTCCCAACTGGAGTGATTCTCAGAACCCACCGGCCTCAGAATGACCGCAGGTGCAGGTTAGAAAATGCAGATCCCTGCAGGTATCTAGGTCTGGGTTTGGGAATCTGCATTTCTCAAGGTCTTATCAAGTGGTGTCCGTGTGTGATCCAGTTTGAGAACCACTGCTCCAGACCAATCCCTCCCCACAAATCTGATCATTTTATAGTTTTTGTCTCTTAACTTAATCATTTCCCATCAATTCTTACCTTTTGGTTCGTGGGGAGGGGAGGGTCAGCCTTGGGAAGAGTAAGAAGAGAGCAGAAGGGAAAGGAAGTTGGTTCAGCTCAGCAAGCGTTGGTTGAAGGCCTATCTTCCAGGGTCTGGCTTATAATTTTTTTTAATACTCATTTAATTTTGAGAGAGAAACAGCACAAGTGGGGAAGGGGCAGAGAGAGGGAGCCTGGGAGAATCCCAAAACAGGCTCCAAGGGCTCCAAGCTGGGCTCAGCACAGGGCCAGCCCGATGTGTGGGGCTTGAACTCACAAACCATGAGATCATAACCTACCACAGGCAAGGTGGATCTGCTTAACCAACTTCCCGGAGGCCACCCCTGAGGCACCCCAAGGGTCACGGCCCTGATTGGAGGGCACAAATGTAAATAAAGGGAGTCCCAGGATCACTGCTCTGCAAGGAACTCAGTGGAAGAGGGAGAGGAAAGGGGGTGACTACCTCATTTGGAGTGTGTGATCTAGGACAGTGGAACGGGTGAATCCTGAGCTTCCCATGGGGAAGTGACCTACAAAGATCTCAAAAAAAATTATAAGAGAAGGAATTAAGCCAGGCAAGTGGTGAGGGTGGTGAAGACATCACTGTGTCACAGATATGCTGGCAGAAGGAAAAGCAGTGGGGAACTCTAAGCAGTTCGGTGGTGGTGCGTGGAGAGCTGAAGAGATGGTCAGGAGAAGAGAACCCTCGTAAATACACAAGAGCCTCTCTCCCAAGAGGCAACATAAGTTGGATCATACAGGTATAGAGCTATAGAGGCAGAGGTGAGAGGTGGGCAAACAATCTAGCTGATGGCAGTGTGGTGGAGAGGAGATGGGGAGGCAGACCTGGAAAGTTCAGAGAAAAGCCCCGGTGGAAGCTTGGTGATGTCAGGCGGTGGTGTGAGGCAGGAGAGTGGGCTTGGGTAAAACAGCAAACAAGTCAGAGAACTCAGAGGGTTTGAGCCATGTTGTGGGAGACAATTAGCTGCTTCCAGCTTTGAGACAGCCATTGAACATGCCTGCCTGTGTGGCATCTGAGCAGAGATGGTATGTCAAGGGGTGCAGGTGTATTTACACCTAAAAGGACAGGGAGCCAGGGGAGAGGTGCCTGGGTGGCTCAATCAGCTGATCCCTCTTTTTTTTTTTTTTTTTTTTTTAAATTTTTTTTTTTAATGTTTATTTGTTTTAGAGACATGAGAAGAGACAAACAGAACATGAGCAGGGGAGGGGGCAGAGAGAGAGAGAGAGGGAGAAACTTACAGGGCTCGGAAACAGGCTCCAGGCTCTGAGCCTGCTCAGCCAGAGCCTTAACCTTTGAAGGGCTTCCAGGCAGGACCGTGAAATCCATTGACCCTGGCTGAAATGGGGCGTAGCCGACCTGCGCCCATGACCCCATCCTCTCCCAGTGGTTTCAGCTTAGGTCATGTCTTGGTCTTGCAGTTTGTGGGACACCCAGTGACTGTGTTTGGGTTCTGCACTGAGCATGGAGGCTGCTTAAGATTCTCTCTCTCTCTCTCTCTCTTTCTCTCTCTCTCTTTCTCTCTCTCTCTCCCTCTGCCCCTCCCACCCCTAAAATAAAAAAACTTTTAATTAAAAAAAAGAGGACAGGGCTAAAGGCATTAATTATTTACACCCCAATACCCTCCAATACTGATTTGAAATTCCTCTAGAGAAAGATTTCAGTGAGAGGAGATTAGTCCTATCAGATATTAAAGCACAGAGGTGAGCAGCATAGAATCTAGACTGCCTGCACTCAAATCCTGGCTGGGGAAACTCTAGTGCAATGGTTGTATTACTCTGTGCCTCAACTTACTCATCAGTAAAATGAGAATAATAATAGTACTCACCCTGGGGGTTGTCATGACAATTAAATGTAATTCATTGAGAACAGATCCTGGCACAGAATAAGGACTATGTGAGCACTAGCACTTGTAATTATTAAGCTGCAATAATTAAAATGATTCGATGTTGTCATATTCATACACAGATAAACCAATGTATTAAAAGAGAAAAGCCCAAATATAGGCAGGACAAAATAGGTCAAAATATATTCAGGAATTTATTAGGTTAAAAACTGGCATTTCTAATCAATGGGGAAAGATGAGTAATTCAATACATGGTGATGGAACAATTGAGCAGCCATCTGAGAAAATGTTATCTCATAATTTGCACCAAAATAAATTCCATGGAGATCAATCAAAGAGTTAAATGGGGGGTGGACGGCATGGGGGGGAGGGGAAGAACCCTAGCATCAGAATAAAGCACGTGAGACTATTTTATAACCATGGAGTAGAGGTGATCTCCCTAAATATAACATAAAACCTAAGAGCCATGAATAAAAATATTTATAAACTCAAATATATACAAATTGTTTTTAATTCTGCAGAGGAAAAAATCACAGTGGTTGTCTCTAGAGTGAGGATGAGGGTTGGAGATGAAGAAAAACATGACATAGTCACTGAGGATATAGAAGACAGTATTTAAGGATTCAACTCAGATGAGAAGCCATAAACTCTGTAAAGGCATCGCCTCATGTTTTTCCTCATGCAGGTTAGAACCCTCTGGGACTTGTTCATTAGGAGTTACGTTCACCTGCTGGCACCAGAGACCAAAAGTAACAGGGCTTAAATAAGACTGAGTTTATTGTTTTCCCTCATATAAAAGGATGAGGAAGCAGATAGCAGAGGACACTGTCCTTAGGCACTCAGGCTTCTATCTTCCTGCTCACTGTGACGGCTACTGGCTTTTATCCTGAAGGTTGCCTCATGATCCAAGATGGCTGCTCAGACTCCAGCCATTATTTCTGAATCCAGACAGGAAACAGGAGGAAGGAAGAAAGGAAAAAAAAAAAAAAAGACTATGCCACAGCTGTCTGTCCTCATTTTAAAGAGTCTTCCTGAAAACCCTACCCACAACTTCCCCTTGAATCTTACTGGCTAGGATGTACTATGTCCCACATCTGTCAGTAGGGCAGCACACTGCCACCCCAAATAAAATCAAGGTTCTGTAGCTGAATAAGAAGAAATGAATGGATATTAGGTAAGCTAATAGCATTCTCTGCCATCAGCCACATCCAGAATTAGAACTGTGTCAGCTAAGTGTGGCATAAGGACAGAGGAACACAGGCGGTCAAGGAGCTAGTGAAAGGGCAGGAGTAGAGAGCAGAGGATGAGCAGGGAGCTTGGACAGCCCAAAAGAAAGTGGATTATTAAGGGACAAGAGTTCAGGGGGTCAAAACACAGATATACCAAACAGGCTGATGATAAAAGAGAGCTGGAAGGAAAGTTGTAGCATAAAAATGATCCTGGCACTTAATATTTCAGAGTTCTCAATCCCAGGGATAAAAAGGAGTCCAGGGTATGGCTGAGTGGAGTGGAGGTCACTAGAGTTGGGGAGACATAGGAGTCCCGTGTGTTCAGAGGGCTGTCCCTGTCGATGATGGGACCTCCCAGGATAGTGTTGGGTGGTGGAGGGGATGTCTGTGAACCAGGGGCTGATCCTTGGGAAACGCTGTAGACAGACTCAGAAGGACAGGAGGGGAGATGGTGGCAGGGGGACATCAGAGGTTTCAGTGGCAGAGGATGGAGAGGAACTGGCTGCAGCACAGACACCCATTCCAGCCCTGAGGTTCGGCAGGGGGAGGGAGGGAGGGGAAACAGCCGCCACTCCCCTTCCGCTGTCTACCGCCTTTTCCTTCTTTCTCCCCCAGGATGAAGTGCAGGATGACAGCAGCATCCTCTATGCCTCCTTCACCCTCTCCAGCTCCTCCCTGCACCCCTCCCAAGGAGAGCCCGCAGGAGACCTTGTACTCTATCGGAAAGGCCCAGTGTGAGCAGGACTGAATGGGGACTCCCTGAGACTAAGCTGCACAGAGGGTCACAGCTTCTAGTAATAACCCTGGCCAGACACAGACAAAAGCCAGTGGGTGTGGAAGGCCACCAAGGACCAGAGAGAAACAGAGCCATCTGCTTCCATTCCCTCTTCAACTGCCCAGCCCTTGCCCACAAAAATAAAAGTACTAGTAGGATTTGCCTGAAGGCACCTAAAGAGAAACTGATGGCATCTTCTGTCTTTTCCTTCTCGCCAAAAATGAGCTGTGAAAGTAGCTCACACCCAAGATCCCTCCTCCAGGGCTGGTGTTCAGTGACTGCCTTCAGGCCAGGTGGGGGACACCAA